TTCACCGATAATATACAGTGTTTATTGTGTGTCTCGTAGGTGTTGTGAACGAGTGACTACGGGACGGGAACAGCCGAGGAGGAAGGGAGACGAGGAAGAAGAAGGAGGAAGGAAGAAGAAGGAGGAAGGAAGAAGAAGTTGTGGTGTTGATGCAGCTACACAAATATAACTGATGTGTGAGGTATTGATGAACCTAACCTAACCCAACCTTATCTTAACCTAACCTAACCTAACCTAACCCAACCCAACCTTATCTTAACCTAACCTAACCTAACCCAACCTTATCTTAACCTAACCTAACCTAACCTAACCCAACCCAACCTTATCTTAACCTAACCTAACCTTAGTTTAACCTAACCTAACCCAACCTTATCTTAACCTAACCTAACCCAACCTTATCTTAACCTAACCTAACCTAACCCAACCTTATCTTAACCTAACCTAACCTTAGTTTAACCTAACCTAACCAAGGTCTTGTGAATGGTGCTTAATAACCCTGGGAGCTAACCAAGGTCTTGTGAACAGTTCCTTTTAATGATGACGAAGTTGCAGTCGATGATGCACTTAAAAGAGTGTGTGTGTGTGTGTGTGTGTGTGTGTGTCTGTCCTGAAGGCCTTGTACTTGTTGATATGGTCAGCATGTATCCCTTTAATCTCTCTCTGTCCTGACGCACTTTTCCTGTCTGCCCAGCCTCTCCCTACCCTTCTGTTCCTGTTCCCTCTCCTCCCTTTTCTTTCTCCTCTCTTTCCTAGATTTAACCATCCCCTCTCTATCCATTCCTGTTCATCATTTCCCCTTCTGTCTTTATTCTTCCTTATCCCTTTCCTCCTGTCCTTTCTTCAACCTCTCCCTTTCCCTCTCATCTCCATTCCTGCCCATGCCTTCCTCCACCATATCACCCAATCGCCCATTACCCTTCCCTCCCTACTCCTCCCCTTAACCCCTTTCTCCATATATCTCCACCATCCTCCCAACCCTTCTCACCCCCATTCATTCTTCCCCATCCTCCCATCCCCTTATTCTCACATCATCTTCTATTCCTCACCTAACCATAATTACCTCACCACTCACCATCATCCTCCCATTCTCTATTTCCCACGTATCCCACTTCCTCATTTCTCTCCCCACTCTCCCCCCATCAATTTTTCCAACCCCTCCTCTTTCCTCCCTCTCAGCTGGCGGTGAGGGGGTGATCGAGGCACACCATGGCTGCTTATTGATCAATGCCACAGATAAATATTAAGCTCGGTAAAGGGACTCACCCAGGCCACGATGGCTCGATAACTTGGGTAAATAAGGTGGCAAGAAGAGGGAGAGGGTGATGGATGGATGGATAACACGAGGGATAATGGATAGAGAGAGAGAGAGAAAAGGAGATAAGGAGGGAGAGGAGACACGTGCTAGCTGAGAGAGAGAGATGCACCAGGTGGTAGGTAGTAATGGTAACGACGGGAGGTAAGGGGGGGAGGGGGAAGGGGACTTACCTCTTACCTGAAATAAGGGTGTGGGACTGGGTACTAGTGGTAGTTATGGTGATATAGCAGTAGTAGTTGAGTTATGTAGTGTTTGTGGATACTATTGCTGTTCTTTCGTCGTGGTGGTGATAGTAGGTAATAGTGAAACTAGAAGGAGTGATAAAGGTGTTGCAGAAGTAGTTGGTTATTATTTTAGTTGTAATTATAGTCTCCAAAGTAGTACATAAGAAAATAAGGAGTCTGCAATAGGCCGGTTGGCCCGTGCATGGCAGCTCCTGTCGAGAGTTACTACCACTCTCTATCGTCCATGAATCTATCTAGTAGCTTTATTAGTCGTTGGGGTAGTAGTAGTAATAGAAGCAGTAGTAGGTATTATACTGCACTGTATGACGTAGCGAGGTGTTGAAGTATCTAATCATCTACTGCAATAACGGAAGATGTTGTCACCTGATAATAATAATAATAATAATTAACGGTTTATTGAAAGAGCTTAGCAGCCAGAAGGCTGAAAATATACAGTTACATATTTGGGGAATGGGTTTCGAATTACAAATCATATACAAGTAACATAAGTGACACAAATAAGATATATAATAACTAGATGGGGAAAAGCTCAAACTACAGGGCATTTCAACATCGTGACAGTGCAAGGAGTAGTGTTTACTGGGAGTGAATACACTGGTTTATTACATGTTATTGATAATTTTTACAATGGTTGGGACTGGGCTGTTCTTATAGCGATCAGTTCGTGCACGTATGGGCTGGATGCGGTTGTGGTGTCGAACAGCAATTCTCGGGCTAGGGATCTCAGGTGGTAGTTAGTGACGTGCCCTGGCTGATAGTAAGGAGCTCCGGCTGATAGTGAGCCCCAACTGATAGTGAGGAGTCCCGGCTGATAGTGAGGAGCTCTGGCTGATAGTGAGGAGCTCTGGCTGATAGTGAGGAGCTCTGGCTGATAGTGAGGAGCTCTGGCTGATAGTGAGGAGTCCCGGCTGATAGTGAGGAGCTCTGGCTGATAGTGAGGAGCTCCGGCTGATAGTGAGGAGCTCCGGCTGATAGTGAGGAGTCCCGGCTGATAGTGAGGAGCTCTGGCTGATAGTGAGGAGCTCCGGCTGATAGAGATTGTGTTAGATTAACGTTAATTTAGGTTAGCTTCAGGGTGTTTAATCATCAGGTGAAATAAAGCTTGAGTGCCTTGTCTTCAGGTGATACGTGTGAAGCTCACTAGATGTTTCCGTGTTGGCGCAGATTGAGGGAGGCAGAGGATGTTGGTGACTCGTGTTTCTGCCCTGGTGATGGTGATAATGGCGGTGATGGTGGTGGTGATGGTGATAATGGCGGTGGTGGTGATGTTGATAATGGCGGTGATGGTGGTGATGCCTCAGAGAGTAAATATCACGAGCTCCGGACGCCCAGACATAACCACTTACTGTGTGTGTGTGTTGGTCACTGCTCGAGGGCGCCCGGCCGTCTGGCTTGGTAGAGTGGGTTGTGGCCGGGAGAGGTAGGCAGGCAATGTGGGAGGAGTGGGATGTGAGAATGTGGGAGATCATTTTAGAGGAAGAGTGAGGAGAGGTAAGGGCTAGAGGTAGAGGATTGAATTGAAATGCCATGGCAAGTGTAGGTAGTGGTGGTAAAGCCAAGTGATGGTGGTGGTAGTAGTGGTGGTGGTGGTGGCAGTAGTGATGGTGGTGGTAGTAGTGGTTGTGGTGGTGGTGGTGGTGGTGGTGTGATCACCATTAAATATAATCTACTCTCTCGTCTTTTCCCTCTTCTCTTCTATCCTCTTTTTTTCGTCTCTCCTATCCACCCCTTCCACCCTTCCTCGCTACCATCCCTCCCCTCACTCCATCTTTCCTTTCCCCTCACTCCCTTCCCCCCCCCCCTCCCCTCTCATTCCTCCTCCTCCTCCTCCCACTTCACCAGCTCTCACTTCGCCACCCACCTCCCCTCTCACTTCACCACCCACCCTCCCCTCTCATTCTCACTCCCTCCCTCCCTCTTACTTCACCACCCACCCTCCACCTTCCTGCCTCAAATAATGGTCTTTAATAAACCAATTGTATTAAGTGTAGAACAAAGGTGTTATTGTGTGCCGGCATTAGTCCAGTGGCTGGCCGGCTCTTGTCTCTGTCCCTTAACTTGTGGCTGTTATGGCCGCCGCGTCACCTTACTGAGTTTGCTGAGGAAAACAAAGTCACTTTATACATCCGACGCCGCTGTGTTGTGTTGTTCCGGGACTGTGCTCTGGTTTTGGAGTGTCTTAGTTCCGGGTCGTGCTGTGCCAAGGATGGTGATGAGGTGTTATAGTTCCGGGTGGTGTTATAGTACAGTAGTTAACGTGGTTTGTGGTTCCTGTAATGTACGGTCACTGGTCCACTGCATGCCTCCAGTGCACGGTCACTGTACCGCTCCAGTGCACGGTCACTGTACGGCTCCAATGCACGGTCACTGTACCGCTCCAGTGCACGGTCACTGTACGGCTCCACTGCCTGGCGGCAGTATTGGCACTGTCCCAAGAAACACAGCTCGTCTGCGTCTAGGCTGTCCTGTAAATCCTCAACAATCCATTGAGTATTATTCCTTTTTAAGTGTGTGTGTGTGTGTGTTTGGATGTTTGTGTGTGTTTAAGTATGTATTTGGAGTGTGTGTATGTATGGATGTGGTGTGTGTATGTATGTATGGTGTGTATGTATGTATGTTTGTATGTATGTGGTGTGTGTGTGTTTGCGTGCGCTCGCGTTGAGAACAGTCGTCAATGATAATGGTAATTGAGACGAGTGTTACAACTACCCGGGGTTACTAAGACTTCACCACCAGCCTCTACCACACATTACAACAGTTGTTATATTGTATCACTGTGGTTATTACTGTGCTTTAACAACTAAGGTCTTTAAGCTAGCACATACACTATTCATCATTTTATTAAGAATTATTGAATAGTATCCTTTCACTTAATTATTTGTACTGTAATCTGCGCTACATTTCTATAATTTATACAGTTTTATAGTTGAATTGACAAGTAAAGACAATGTTTATGTATGGGCTCCCAGGTATACGTAACAGCGACGTCATCACTTAGGTCATATACCGTGCACCACCGCCCTCTCACACCATAACTCCTGAAGTCGACTGTTGCACTACATAAGGCGGGCGGAAGGTGGGCCAGCCAGCCAGGGTTATATTTACTGATATGAGAATGTGAAACTCAAGATATGGTCGAAATAAAGACGCTTAATCTAGGGGATTATCCACCTTAATGAACATTCCCCTCTACCTCCTCCCCGCCTTTCTTCCCTCCCTCCCTCCCAAATTATTGTTCCTAACTGGATTTCGTTTGGGGGCAAAATTAATACCGTTACTCATATTAGTTAGGATTTCCTACATGGATTATTTTCCCTCATATCTACAGCCAAGTGAGCCTTTATAGGTCTTAACTGTGTTAGCGTAGGATTTGAAAGAAACGTGTTGGGTGAGGGAGGAACCTGGCGGGTAAGGGTGGTGGAGGTGGAGGGATCATAGAAAATGGTCAGCCTCGCATATTAGTAAAGGAAAGAGAGAGAACGTGGGGGCTGTAATGGCCAACTTAATTAAAACAACGAAGCCGGGAATTCAGAATACATTTAAGAG